TATTGATAGATAAGAAACATAAAAATACTGTATTGTAGACTGAATCACCATATCTATACGTTTTTGGGGTTGCTGATTTCGAATTCAATATTCATTAAACCCCATCTGGTCACTGTTCGTCCCTAACCTTAAAAATACTTCAAATCGTTGAAATAATACGTTTCTATGATGAGTAACACAGTTTTAACCACCACAACTTATGTTTTCGGGATCGCTGAAACCAATTCTGATATCAGTATAACTTCAACTAGTCAGAATTCGTGCCTAACCTCAAAATAGTAGCCCAAATTGCTAAGATTACACTTTTCTACGTTTAGGAATGAAGTGTAACCAACATATTTTATATTTTTGGGGTCACTGAATCGAATTCCTACATTCGTTTGAACCCAACTAGTCACTAGTCGTACCTAACCTCAAAAAATATTCCAAATCACTAAAATGCCACTTTTTCTGGTTGAGTTATAAAGTCTGATCACAATATCACCAAAATCGCTTATAATCTATTACAGGTAACTAAATTAAAGTTGATTATTATATCCGATTGATCTGTTATTTACAAAAGTTACCCCCAAGCCGTATCACTTCTCTAACCCTCTCGTGGTAGTTCCAATATGGCGCCTGAAGATACACATAAAAAACACGAAATATTATTTAGCATCACTCAAACGCTACTATCTTCCATATACTGAAACAATTTCGAAATAGTATTTGCAGAATCGATTAAGGCTTACATAAGAATTATCCCGTCCTTTCAGTACTTTCGATATTTTTAAATTCAATAGGTTAAACAATATATGCTTTTTGTGTTTAATTGGGTTGAGGCCGTTATCATGGCTAAGACATAAAGTCTGTATTACCTTTTCTTTAGTATAATATGCAGAACTTCTAAAAAGGATTTGTTCTTTTTATATGGAACATACCTTTCATCATATCACATGCTCGTTTGGAAAAAAACAAAAATATGGTGGTCGCACTTTATAACTATTATAGCTTTTGAGGTTAGGTACGACTAATGGCTAGTTAGGTTCAAACGAATGTAGGAATTCGATTCAGTGATCCCAAAAATATAAAGATATGTTGATTACACTTCATTCCTAAACGTAGAAAAGTGTAATCTTAGAAATTTTCACTACTTTTTTGAGGTTAGGCACGAATTCTGACTAGTTGATTGATATCAGAATTGGTTTCAGCGATCCCGAAAACAAAATTGTGGTGGTTAGACTGTGTTACTCATCGTAGAAACGTCTTATTTCAACAATTTGAAGTATTTTTAAGGTTAGGGACGAACAGTGACCAGATGGGCTTTAATGAATATTGAATTCGAAATCAGCAACCCCAAAAACATATGGATATGATGATTCAGTCTACAATACAGTATTTTTATGTTTCTTGTCTATCAATATTGCTCATTAAACAGANCTATAGTTATGATTTTTTTCAATATTCACCCACGCTCGGAAGAAATTAATTTATTTAAGGGTGTAAACCCCGCAGACAAAAAAATTCCTTTATATGGGGTATTCTACA